AATGACAAGTAGAAAAGAAACACCACTGGCTCTTTTTCTTTTACTGCTGACAAAGAGTTACATCTGTCGCTTTTGCTATTGCTTTTTAATGATAGGGTCGTCGAGGTCAGCTGACCTTCAGCTTCAGCGAGCACAACCGACAGATACAATCCTTGGACAACTACAAAACATATGAACATATTACATAAACATTGTTCGGCAGGGCAGGCTCAGTGTCACCATATATATGTGTGAGCTTTCAATGGTGATTCAGAGGCAGCAGCTGCTTTTCAAACGGCTCCAGGTGAAAGGTGACGGCGGCGATTATGAGCTCTGATGTTTTCAAAGACGCTGCGATCAATTGATATGAGCGACAAAGAAAGACGGGCAGCAGAGGTGAAGGTTTGTACATGTGCGATGTGGTAATGTAAATACATCTAAAGAGTACAGCCAGGTTTGCTACTCTTTGAAAGCGTTCATATTCAGAAAGCAGTGCTGTCAGGATGGATATCTTCACACCTTTATTTTCTAAAGCCAAATCAATCTATTTTGATCGTTTCATTGCCTTAATTCAGCTGAAACTGGACTTTTAAAACACGTGTTACACTTTAAGGGATATTCCAGCGTAAAATTAATTTAGGGTCAAACACACCGCGACACAGAGTTAGACACCCTCTCGAAAGATGAATGTTGCCGACCGCTTGCCTCTCTAGTTAAACCAACTATAGTAACGACCGCAGATAGCAACACACAGCGGTCTGACGAGCCATAAACAAACCTCAACCAAAACGCCACTCTATAGCCACAAATAATGCTCAGAACAGCACCTAACTTCATCAACAGTACATATAGGGTCACAGCCACAGGACTAGCCACCAAACATCTTTTTTACTTTGCCTGATTTCTTTAGCAGAGAGACTAAACACAACTCACCCACTCTCTTCCAGCAGTCCCTTGTTTGTAGCAAGACCTCGGGCCAGTCGATTACTGACTATAGCGGGGTGACGCAGCTTAAGGAAGAACATTTATGATCATTTCTTTATCATTTCCTTGAAGTAATAATCTCTAGATTAATCATTTTGCACTGCAGACACGGTAGTTCTTCTGCCATAGCGTCTCGGTCTGATTGCATATCCATGAAGTGATGATCATAAATGTTCTTCCTTGAGCTGTGTTTTCCCGCTGCAGTCCGTAATGGACTGGCCTGAGGTCTCGCTACAAACAAGCGGCTGCTGAAAGACAGTAGGTGAGTTGTGTTTAGTCTCTTTGCTAAAGAAATTAGGCAAAGCTAAAAAGATGTTTGGTGGCTAGTGCTATGGCTCGGACCCTACATGTACTGTTGATGAAGTTAGATGCTGTTCTGAGCATTATTTGTGGCTATAGTGGCGTTTTGGTTGAGGTTTGTCTATCATGTGCTCGTTACTAAAGTTGGTATAACTATAGAAGCAAACAGTCGGCAACATTCATCTCTCAAGGGGGTGTCTAACTCGGTGTTAAGGTGTGTTTGACTCTAAATCAATTTTACGCCGGAATATCCCTTTAAGCTAAATAGCATGAAGCATTAGTAGGAAGCTGAGTAGTAAACAAAACCTTGGTAGATGAAGAAATGATGTAAAAAGACAAAAGTTTTCAAATCGTACAAACAAACTATATAGAGCTTTAAAAGCAACTGTGTTTTCATCATTCATCGTACATCCTTTTAGCCTCGTGTTTTGTCGTCTGTTTTGACATGTAGTATGTCAACCATGATGACTATAGTAACAAGCTGAAAGGAGGCATGTCACCGCCTACTGAAGTGCAGACAGACATGTATACTGGGACAAGAATAGTCGTCTCGTTAAACTGACAAACTTTGATATGAAGCAGCATCTCTGCATAAAAGTATGCAGCGAGCCCACCAACATTTCTAACACGGCAGAAATTCATCTGGAGCGTTCGACAGACCTGTGTCTCTTGGACTAATCTTGCTTTGTGTCCTGCCGTGCACTTCTACAAAAACAAATCAAAGTGATGAAGATTAAAGATGAACCGAGACAGGGAGCACAAACATGTCTAACAGGTCAGAGTCTATTGTTTTATACGAGGCTTAACGTGGAATCAAGGGGTGAATCAGTTTGAGGACACTCTCTGCACCCCACCATCACCAAATTAAATTCACACCCCCTTTACCCCTCAAAGACGCACACACACACCAACACATGTTAAAAACACCACCAGTGTTATATATTTTGATTGCTCATTCACACTTATGCTCTGCAATCCCATAATCCCACTCCAGATTGAGAACACCTTTCGAGATACGATGTGATTATGATTAGGGATTATGATCAAATTATGACAGAGTGACAGATTAGACAGGGGCTGTGTGTGTGTGTCTCAGTGTGCGTTTACACAGCAAATAAAGTCATTCATCTTCTATTTTTTCTTGTAATTCTAGTTTTATTTGATATTTATAGTTTACACGAACTGAAGATACCACAAATGCTGAAAATGGTGCAAAAAAACCATCTATATATATGTACCAGGGACAGATTGTTCTTTTTGTCATGCAGGAGCTCTTCGTCTAATATTAGGAATTGCAGAACAGGATTACTACTAAAATCTAATACACACTTCTTTGGCACGTGGCCTGACTAACAAAATCCATGACAATCTGTTCATGAATTTAGAGATGCACAAAATGTAATTCTTTAATGACAGAGGTGATACAACTGGTCGTGACTGGCATGTCTCGGTGACCCCAGGTGGTGTAAGAGTAGAATTTTGTAAAAAGACACATGTTCACCTGAGGATGAACCATGTTGACTTTCTCTAAATATAGCAATGGCCGCTACACAAGATGGCGCCACACACAAACTACCCACTGGATCCATATTGATGGATCTGATGACATTTTATAAAGTGATTACTGATATTCTGACCCAGTCATGCATTTACAATGAGAGGTCACAATATTAGAAACGCTTGTAATTATCACAGAACACCAGAGATGCTAAACGTCATGCTTTGAGTGAGACAGCCACGCAATTTGACCCATTCTTACACCACACGCCACACTTGACATTTTTCACGTTTATTTTCCCCGTTCAATACTCTGTATTTATTTTTTTCATGATAATAAACTTGGCTTGCCGTAGTTCGAGTAACACTGGAAAGCAAAATGGGAGGCCTGAAACAACGTCTAAGAAAGTTACTTTAGCGCTTGCCCTATATTCGTACAAGGCAAATGCTAAAATAACTGTCGTAGATGTAGCCATCTTGTTTCACCTCCGATTTAGCTTCTTCCGACTTGGTGACTCAAACACTGAGTTTTTTTTTTTGTTTGTTTGTTTGGGTCTTGGCGTCTCTATCTTTCACACACAACAGCGCCAACATTTAAAACCCACTCGACGTAATGCAAAATCGACAAATAAACAAAATAAAATTTTGTCAAAAGTCTTGTTACAATTTTCATTTCTAATTTCTGGTTAATAGAGACTAGCATTAGGGATAGCCGCTAGCATGGAGGTGAGGACATCAGTCTTAAGGTTTAAGTGGATGTTAAAAAGGCAAAAAAAAATTCTCAGCGTGGCCAAACACATCATAACGCTAAAGTCTCACTCTTGTCATTTTCTGAAACTTAGCAGCCCTGGAACACCACAGCAAATAAAAACCTCAATCATACGAAGTAATGATAGCTAACATTTCATTGATGCTGTGAATTGAAACTGAACATTACTAAATTTAAAAATGCCCTATCAGTTGTAACAGTTGTAATTATTCACTTCTTTTTCAGCAGGTGGAAGGACATTAAGCTGCATGTCAACAGGATTTACAGTGCAACATTTTAAGCAGAATTAACTAAAATTCAGGTTGCAGAAAGGAGAGAAAACTTACCTCTTTCAAACACAAAACTGTGAGGGGTGTTTCGCCTCCTCATGGCTGCTGCGAGTCAACTAGCTGCCTCGCCTTATATCACAGGTTTGAGGTCTTTAGCAGAGGTTCAGTCCGTGTTCAAAATCAAAATGAGCTGCCCAGCAACTGCACATTGTTTCACCAACAAGTTAGTATCTGCCCCACCACTTAAGATACTCTGTGGTGCGACTGAACATACCTGTATTTCACCTTTTCACAGTCTGGCCGATCTTTTCGCGCCATTAATATTTGATTTTGCGTTTGTGGGCGGGCGCATTATCGTTCCATTTTCCCGCTTCATTGTGACGTCAAGTGGACGAATCCATTTGAAGAAGTGGAAGGGGGTGGATGCGCCTGTAGATATTGCTGCACCTGCGCCGTAGACTACAACAGGTGTTCTTTTGAGCATTTTGGGAAGTTGTGCCTCACTGTGGATATCCTTGATAGCATCTCTGCTCTGAAGCAAGACTGATAATGAACCAAATACACTTTTGCTGCATTACCCACCACCCCACTGAGCATTTTTGGGTGTAAAAGAGGTATAATAGACATCTAAATGTAGAATAGATGACTGGTCTAAAATCAGGCTACCACAGGTTTAAAAATTGAAGTTTTTTAGACGTCTAAATTTAGACCAAGTTTAGACTAAATCTAAATCTGGGCTATATCTATCTATAGTAAAGTTGCTTTTTGAAATAAATAGTTATCGAATAATGGGTCAAAGTGCAATGTCTAAATTCCATCTAAAAATATACAAAATCTAGATGGTAGAAATTAGGTCTAAAAAAAGAAACTAGATGTCTAATAGCCGCCTATTGCTCAGTGGGACTATACTTTTAATGATCTTAGGACAAAAAGCAAAATTTAATTAATCTGTTTGCATAAACTCATGTGAGGCATTTATCTGCTTATAAAACAGACTGAAATTATTATGACGCTTTATGTTGATCTACAAATGCAAATGAGCCCATTGGCAATAAGACTGATTATTTCTTTACTGCTGTTGCAATGTCTAAAACCACAGGCAGGGGGTAGGTGTCAGTTGAGTTCAGTGCCTGCACACTTTAGAAACAGTTTTTGTTTCACTTTCCATAGCAGCGATTTCCTCTGAGCGATGAATATTGGCATTTAGATTATGCAAAGTGGGATTTATTATTAGAAAATATGACAGAGACAAAATCTACAGAGATAAGAGGTGCTGCTTTGTCTACAGTGGGCGCCAAATAGACAAAAGACACTGAGGAAAAAATTCAAAGCCCAGCACAACCAAAAAGGTGTTTTTAATCATACTGATGCATGTATTTCCTAACTTTTTATTGCAATCATACAGATTTTCATTGAAATTTGTCCTTTTTGACCAAACCACAGTAACCTAAGGGGTAACATCATCTGGTTTGCCCCGGTTTTAAATGTTTGACTACATATATCAACAAAATTAAAAACTTTAGTTCCAGCAAGTTTTCCAGAAATCAAATTAAGAAAGGTACTGTTACGTTTCTTTTAAACTAGTGGTTCTCAAGTCCAGCCCTCGAGGCCCACCGTCCTGCATGTTTTGGATGTTTCCCTGCTCCAACACACCTGATTCAAATGATTAGCTCATTATTAAGCCATTACAGAGCTAACGAGCTGATCATTTGAATCAGGTGTGTTGGAGCACGGAAACATCCAAAACATGCAGGACAGTGGACCTCGAGGACTGGACTTGAGAACCACTGGTTTAAACCAAACATGGAAATCCTTGTAGATCCATCTTGCAAGATCTATGATGGATCATTTACGTCTCACTTTTTTCATCAAGCTCCTCTTCATCATAGGTAACACAGACATAAAAGTGTCATAAAAGGAGTGCACAACACACCAGAAATGACATGACATGAGCTCTCTATTAAAATACACAGCCACCACAGAATCCTTGGCAGGTATTTTATTTCATATATAGACGCTTTCTGTAATCAAATGTGAGTGCAATCAAACAACAGCAATACAAACATTACCAATGCAGTCTGAGAACCAGGAACAGGGTTAAAACAGGGAGTTCACTCACTCTACATAGCGAGCAGCTAGTAACCTCATGGACAACATTAAAAAAAAAAAAAACTTTCCTCTGTCAGGACAGTCCTCTGTCATGTGTACTTCCAACCATAATGGTGGGAGGGGGGTGATGGAGGAGTCTATTTGACACCCCCATCCTCCTGCCCTGACCCTCCTCCTCCTCCTCCTACAGGAAGTCCAACCAGTGATACAACAGCCCCCCCTGCCCACCACCCGCCTCCATGAGTCCAACTTGCACTCGGCTCTTCAGTGAACTAGATAACCTCCCGTTTCCCCATCATGATTATCATCGTCATCATCCTAATAATAGTAACAAAAAAAAAAAAAAAATCAAAATCATTTCCACTTCTCACACAGCAGGAGCCAATCAGAGTGCACAGGTCCTTCTGGTTCAGTCTCAACCAATGGCTGTCCATCCGGGGTCGACTAGAAAACCACGTAGCTGTACATGTAGAACCAAAGTCCTCATGCAGTGCCCTGCAAAGGTGGCACATCACATACGTGCACAGGTGGAAGTGGGGGAGGGTGGAAGGAGGGTGTTAATGTTTTTTTTTTTTTTTTTTCGTGTTTCTGTGTGTGTTAGAGAGTGTGTGTGTGTGTGTGTGTGTGTGTGTGTCTTTTTTTTTTTTAAAGAGGGGAGAAGCAAAGGTGTTAGGCAAGTATCAGACCCAGGAGCACGAAAAAAAAAAAAAAAAAAAAAGTCCAGGAGAAGAAGAGTTACATACAAAGTCTTTATCCACCGTCTGTCTTCTCTTGGCCCTCCTTGAAACACTCTCGCACACACACACTCACTCACACCCACACACACAGACACACACATGATAGGTCCTCATGTTATTGTGAAGTCAGGTGTTTACCGTCAACATTCAAGAAAAGGAAGAAAAAAAAAAAAAAAAAAAACACCTCAATGGTAAAAATTATCCCTATCATCACAACGCTTCGGTTCATTAAATCTCAACATTTTGAAAAAATGATTTTGTTTCCTCCAGGTTTAAAGCAGTATATGTGTGCGTGTGTGTATGTGTGTGTGTATGTGTGAGTAGTCCTTGTCGTTGTCGTCTTTGTCCCGCTGCTGCAATCGCACCCGCACACACCCATGCACATCCAACATTCACACACTCACGCACTCCAACACACACCACATGTCCTCTTTTAGTGGAGAAAGACATGGCGCAAATGGAGAAACACTCCTCCTTTGGGGCGGACGAACCAATCACAAGGAGGAGACGGGAAAGGGGGCGCGGCTGTGGCTACCAGGGGTCTTCCAGCTCACCGGCACTCTAAGTGAGTGAAAAAAGGGAAAGAAACGGAGAGAGGTGTGCGTTAGGCTTTTGTTCATTCACTTCTCTTGATGCAGTTAATCAAAATGTCAACATTTGGTCATCTGTGGTGCCTGATGTCTACCTAAAATGAATGGATCATGTTTTAAGACAGTAAGATTCCTCTCATAAGTCTGCATGTTAACACAACCAGAACCCAGACCTCCGATGACTCACCTTGCGGAGAATCACGAGGCAAACTGTCAGACTGAAAAACAGGGAGGGAAACGGGAGAAAGAAGTCCCTATGCTCTAAATTTGCTTTATCATGGGGTTTCAAACCACTTTGCTGCTAATGATTTTAAGAAAACACAGTCTTTTGTCTTTGAGCTGCTGAGATAAAATCGTAAAGCAATGCTAGATCTAGAAGCTGAAAGGATGAGGAAGGGGGCAAGGAAGGTAGGGGTCTATTTTCTGCCTGAGTTGTTCCCTAAAACTTACAAAAATAGACGCTTAAAGTCTCTAGAAGTTTGGAGAAATCACCGGTTATCTATTAGCACATTTCTACCTCGGGCTAAATAAGGGGTTGAAACTCATTTTGAAGAGAAAAACACAACTTTGGATGAGAAACACAGATGCACTGTCAGATCAGATGGAGAGAGAATCACACACTCGACACACATGATAGCGTTATACCTCAAATCAATTTTTATTTTGTTCATTTGTTCATTTGTAACTGCACGGGACTGATTCGACCCACATGATCGCATACAAATACAACTCATACGTACACAAACACACATACAAACGCACAGTGTTTTAGCATAACCTCACTTTCTGATACCTAAGTGCTTTGATCGAAAAAAGATAAGTGCGGGGCATGCATTACCAGAGTCCCTGGGTACATGATATAGACGTTCAATGACTGTCCTCTCTATCTGCGCTCAGAGAATGACTTTATCAGCTAATCCTGCCTCAGATAATCCCATATTATGTTACCCTTTAATGTCGTAACTACGAGATTGATGATATTTTGGGGGAACATTTGATCCCAGTCCCCCATCGATTGATTGGCAAATGCCAGCTCCTGTAGCAGTCGTAAATGGATTAGCAAAAATGGGGAAAAAAGGAGATTGAAAAAGTAACTAACAAAAGAGTCACTGAACTTTACCTGACCGTGACTGTCTGCTTCGAATCGATATGTAAATCTGCTCTGTTGTGGACTCTGATGACCTGGGGGATCTTTGCGGTTTATCACTACATCAAAAGAAGGGTTGGTCCCATAAATCCACCAGCCAGACCCTTTCTGCCTTCGCCCCCATAGATCGATATGTTGGCGCCCATCGAGATGGAAGCACACCATCCATTCTGGTTTATTTCACGCTTCTTTTCTTTAGCGCCACAGTTTGACTTGGCTCAACTTTCGTATGATATAGCTGCTCTTGCTTTGAGTTGAATGAGTCTACTGTCAGTACTCAGCTCCAAAAAATGTCTTTGGTTGGGTGTAAAACCAATGCAACTCATCGATATACAACAAAGAGACGAGAACCCCAGACAGGTCAATAAAACAGCCGAGGGTCACATAAATGGTACGTTTTCACCCTTGAAGTATTTCTTGCGTAAAAGAAAAAAGAAAGACAGAAAGAAAAAACAGAAACAAATACTCTTCAGGCACTTCTGGACCGGCACCGAGCCAACTCTTTTTTTCCATATCAAATAAACAAGCAGCAAAAAGGTAAGTGATGTGTTATCTGGAGTGTTTTTTAGATCATGTTCCAGTTGGACAAGAAAAATCTTGAAGGGTGAAAGCGTTTTTTTTTTTTTTGAGGTATGATTTTTAACCTCTTTGAGCTGTCCTATGGAAGCATCTGGGGTTTGTCTGGTGGAGGAGACGGTCTTCAGCGGTCTGAACGGAGCTAAAAGCTAAATCTGACACGTGACTAAGCTTTCATGGAAGTTGAGCCACGTCAAAGATCGATGTAGAGCGAGATACTGTTTGCCTAAAAAAAGAAAACGCTTTGTTTTAAGGACAGACTGTTTTGGCGTTGGAAACAACATGACCTTTGGGACTGGCGCTCCACCCTTTAATGAAGCTTTCCCTTCGTTTGTCACCCAGGAGTTTTGTTTTCTGAAATCTGATGTCTTGATGCTTTTACATCCAGGAGGAAACTTCCACCTTGTTGCGCGTTACTCTGAGGCAGCGTATAAACATATGATGATATGAAGTCATGTTTACGTGGTGATGGAATGACTTGAAGGATAAGGAGCTCTCACTCGAAGCACACACCTGCTAACCCACAGTCGCAGGTATCTTCTTGCGGTTACACTGTCCAGTTAAACTCTACCCATCCTAACATTGTTGAACAAGCTGTTAAATGAACTAACACTCTGGATAACCGCCCACCGTCAAAACCACACATTACAGTAGGGACGATTTGCGTCTTTCTTGGGTCAGTCGAACTCTCGCACACTCACACACAGACACATATACGCCAAAAGAGTGCTTTCTGAGTCTGTAGACAGGGTCAGCCTAAACACAGAGCTGTGCGTCGAACACAGCTGCGGCTCAGACGGTCTTCTCTCCTTTTCTTGACAGTTCACGTTGCTGTAAAGCAGGTGTTGGGGTGCAGGGAGGGGAGGGGGGGAAATCAGCCAGAAGCCAGTACTCTTAAATGTAGGCCATGGAGTGCAAGGTTCATTTCTGCTTCACCAGCCACTTCTGCTTGTTATAGTAATTTGTTATCTTCAGTTGTAAACATCAGTCAGTGAGATTAGGGCGTAAAAGTGGCTGGCAAGAGTTGGGGGGATCCAAGCCAAGGTGGTGAGCAGGAAGGGGGGCACAGACAGAGAAGAAAAGGAAAGAGACCTTTTTGGAGGCGGAAAGACTAAATGAAGCTCCAGCACAGAACTTGAACAGACAGACAGGCGAGCTGTTTTTATTTCCACTGTATTAATGAAATATTCATGAATGAGAATGAGCAGACTTGTGATAGAGCCAGAAGAGGTTGATTTTCCATTCAAGTTCTGTGATGAAGGAAAAAGGAGGAGAGGTCATAGCATCTGACTGGAGCTGGGTGCTCATTTAGAGGAGGGATTGAACTCAGGGGCGGGCGCATCTTGGCTGCTCTCCGGCTCTGCATTGGCAGGTGAGGGCGGGGGCGAGGGGGGAGAGGGAGGGGAGGCAGGCTGCTCCTGGCCGTCGCTGTCGTCGTTGTTGTCGTCGTCTCCGTCGTCGTCGGGGTTCCTCCTGCCCTCTCCGGCTCCCTCGGCAGCGCTCTCCTCCCCGCGCAGGTGGAAGGCAGCCAGGGACTCCTCCAGCACCGTGCGGTACTGCCCCCGGTGGTGCAGGCGGAACTGCCTCAGAGCCTCCAGCAGATGAGCCGCCGTGCTGCCACCTCCCTCCTCACTCTCCTCCTCCTCTCCCCCCGCACAGGCCTGAGGTGACACGCCAGGGGTCAGACTGAAGGCACGCTCCATGGTCACATACTCACATTTACTTCCACACACACATACTGTACATCTTACACATATCACACACAGCACTCCCATCACTGTGACACAAATGTCTAGCACACACTAGTGTGATGATGTCAGAAACAGTTTGCACCAGTCGGACAGGTCCATGCAGACCCTACCTCTGACCCTGTGACCAACAACCCTTTGCGATATTCGCTGTGTGGTGTAACAGAGAGAGGTGGGGAGGGGGCGGTCAGTCAGCACCCGCACAGCCCGGAGACCAAGAAGAGCCTGGACGTCAGAGCTTTGCTGACATTAATCTGACAAATACTTCCATCATGTGACCTCAAACATTAAACACACACCTCCACCTCCACCTCTACATCCACCCTTTCAGACTGTTTCACACCTGACTTTGATCTCCACCTGAGGTCAGGTCAGCTTTCATACCTTCACTTCTATCAATAGCTGGTTTCACTTAAAGCCAAAATCTCCACCCTAATGCTCAGGCAGTTTTCGAGTTTTCGCTTTAAACATATTTTGTTTATTTCTATCAGGCCCTGCTGCTGCTGCTGCTGCTGGTATAAATTTGTATTTGCAGAACGTTTAAAAATCTGTGTTTGATCAGGGCAACTAATAAAAAACAGCTTCAATACGTTTGACTCTGGTTCAAAGTGAATTCTCTGATCTGTCCATAGAGTTTCTCTTAGTGAACATGAAATTATTTTGTCTCTTCAGGTGTGAGCTGCTTGATTTTTGCTCATTTACAACAACATCTCTAATAATTCAAATTAAGTATGAAAATATAATCCAGTTAGTTTGTTATTGTTAGTTGTAATGCTATCACTGGGGATGTGTGCTGGTCAGCATCTAAATTACTAGTTGATTAATGTTATAAATTTTTATTTTGTTATCGGCCATTAATACTCTTTATATGCTGTGTAGCACTAGTTAATGGCATACTGTTACTATGCTCTGCTACCTGGACGGTTGGCGTCTTGCCGAACGGTGCGGTTGTGGACCATTTTTTGATCATTAAAACAGAGATTAAGTTGTATGTAGGCTGTGTCCTCGTTAAACTGGCACATAACCTCCCGACTAAAGGAATGGATAACTAGCTCAGGTACGTGGACGTTCACCCTTCAAAGGAGTTTTTTTTCTACCTGCGCAGCTTTTGAGCCAAGAGAAGAGGAAGATTGTTAAAAACTTAGTTTCAAAGTATAAAAAAACGATGATCATGAATAACACCTGCCATTTTAACAAGTTTTAAACAGCAACAGCCAATAGAGGTCAATTTATAGGGCTTGACACTAACTTTTTTCAACTTAGGAGCACATGTCCACATGTTAAAAAAGTAAGGAGCACAAAAAGAATTTTGGGGGCACAAGGAAAATTGATCGAATAATGTGTGTCTTATTGGTCAACATAAGTACTATTATCTTTTGGTCACATGACATGAAAGCTATTGATGAAAATGTTCGAAATATGCCTTTAAATTTAACACAAAAAATTTTGAGTACAAATTAGGGAAATAAAGAGGTGTGTCTTATTGTCCAACCTTAAGGTCCTTTCACACCGGGACCGTTGTTTTTGTGCGATTATTTCGGACGTCAATAATTTTTTTCGAACCCGTATTCTGTCAATACAAGCGTTCACATCACAGCGAAGTGAAAGGACTTTTAGTACCATTATTTGAAATCATTTTTAGGTCAATTGGTCGTGTGACATGTTAGCTATTAAGGGGAAACAGCCTTTTTTGAGAATTTATTGATGGTCCCTTATTCAACACCTATGCCGAGTAGATTTAACCGCACTGCTGTTGCTATTCCCGGTTATGGAGAGTAAGAAGACACAGGTAGGTCCCGGTGAATGTCCATTGAATATCCAACTTAAAACTAACTTTACATAAAAAAACATTTGTTGCCTCGGCTGATTTTTTTTATGCGCACATGTGCCCCTAAATACATTCTACAATTCGCACACATCTATTTTTAGTCACGAAACAGTTGCACTCTTGAGCCCTGATTTATACCTGTGTAACTACAGTTTTTAAGGAACCCGTCACTCCATGTGTGTGTGTATATTTTTCTTAGTAATCTGTATTTTGAGGTCAAGTGTAGATGTGCATGCAGGATGAATCCTAGGATGGTAAAACTAAAAAAGCCAAATGACACTGTTTCTACAAAGCTGCTGAGGACAGAGGTTCACTCACTGGTGGTAAAGCAGAGTTCATTCTTGAGGTCTTTCTGTCCACTGTGTTGAAATGGTTAACACAAAATCAAAGCTGGACTCACTGAGCTTTAATGCTTTTAAACAACAAGTGCTCACCAAGGGTCTTCTGCTGCAGTCTATCTTCCATCTGCTGTTCACGACTAAATCACATCAACTCTCTCTCTCACACTCATCTTCACATGAGATACATCCGAGTGTCCCTGGCTGGGCTGGCGTGTGTTTGTATGAGGTCATGTCGAGGAGGAAGAAAGGGTGCGGTGAAAGGTTTAAGAGGTGAGGGAAGCAGAGAGAGATAAACTCACCCCTTCCTCTTCTCTGTGAGGGTTCAGCTTGTTGTACATCGCCTCGATCACGCTCCGTCTGCAAACACACACAAACACACACAGACACACACAAAGCAGCTGCTTAGAGAAGACGTCAACTCCTCGCTTCATACAGACAGTTCATTCTCTGCAAATGTATATTGATTCACATTATAATGGAGCCAAGGAGGCAGCTGAGTCGATACCTGGGTATCCGCTTTTCGTGCATGAAAGAGACTCTTTGTGAACGTGAGCAGAAGAGGAAAAGTGTTTTGAGGAGTGTTTGCTGCATATGTTTGTTTATTATCGGCTTGTTCAAAAATCTATAAAGATCATCATAAACTGTAGGAGTAAAAATAAAGCTGATCAGTGCACAAGGTGGCCTGTTTACCTGAGCTTTAGTCAGGCTCAAACCCAGCCAGAAGTCCAACACTTAGGAGGCGAATGCCAAAAGATTTTTTGATTTGCGACTTCATAAAAGGTTCAGTGTCAGTCAGCAGAGGAGCTACTGAGAACAGACCATCTCCGACACGAGAGAGATTCTATCCAGCAATGCAGGCAGCAGCAGCAGAGCTGGTAGGGGAATTTTTAGGGAAGCATTTGAAGCGTTACTGACCTTTTTAACGATTTGAATAAACCTTAAAAAACAGCAAAAAACAACCTCAAATCAGCTCGAAAAAGTTTTCATCTTTGGTCACCTGGTAATAAGCAGGATAGTGTTTGGTGAGCAGGGGTCTTTAGGGATGGGCGATATGGCCTCAAATCAATATCACGATACAATGATCAGTTCACCTCGATGACGATAAATGGACGATAACTACTCCACAAGCTGCTCACCTCCTTCACATTAACTTCTTTTACTTCCGCCACTACAACTTTTGAACCGTCCTCCATCTCCTCACCTGTCTTTCCCTCTTTGTTACGGACTGTATAGGGTAGGGTCGCATCTTTGACGTAGGACAGCGTCTTACAGGGACATGAAACCATAGCCTACCTACACACAGCCAAAACCATCATATATATATATATATATATATTTTTTTTTTTGACACTGAATATACTGATATGAGCAAAATGACGTTGGTTATTGTTGTAAATTTTGGTATCTGTAAATTTTCAGTTTCTCGCCCAGCCCTATATACTGTTGTATCCTACTGGATCATACCATTTTCTTTCATATCATATTGTATCAAGATCTGGTTACCAAGCAGAGGATAATCGAAATTTAGTTCCGATTGTGTTTTGGCCCCATAAAGAGAAACAACTATTTCGTAAAGCGTCTGCATGCATCTTAGTTATAGGGCTTTCTATTAATAATATTCAACAAAAGCCTGAAACAGCCAGATTTAGAAAAGAATGGTATCAACAGTGCGTAATTATTCACACAGTTAGGCATTTGTTGTAAATTTCGGTATTGGTAAATTTTCGGTTTATCGCCCAGCCCTACTCTCCATTACTTCTTATTCCAAAGTCAGGGTGCTGATGCTCTGGCAGTCTAAGTGCCCCACATTTAAAGGCTGTAGTCCTCGTCACAGCGGTCGCTGGTTTGATTATCATTACCATGACGATTTGCTTACTCTCCACTCCCCACGTTTCCTCTCTCTCTTCATCTGTCCTATCCACTCAGGGCAAAAATTCCCCACACACAAAAAACTTAATTCTAATGTCTGACTGTTCTCCACAGCTGGACAAAAATGGTTCTTTGTAGGGAGCACAGACCAGCTTTTATGGATCATTACATATTTTTAGGTAAACAAAAACGATGCTCTTCAGTGTCTGAGCTCATCTAAAACAGACGGTCTTTCAGTGCAAATCTTTAACAGTGGAACTTTTTATTGTTTGCTGACAAAATGATTTATAGCCCAGTGATGATAACAATCTTAAACTAGAGGCTTACTTGTCTCGATTCTTTTCTGGTTCCTCGATCGTGGTGTTACTGTGTCTCTAATGTTTTTTAAGCACTGACAGAATAACTTTGGAGTAAATAAGATGTTGAATCGAAAGTTTTTAAATGTATTAAAGCCATAATCTAATAACACACTCCAGTATGTGTGAATGCAGTGAACTTTCATTCCTGCTGGTGTATTTACTTGCTAGCCAGGCCTCCTCCAGGTGGAAGGTTGGGGATGTTCTCTGTGGCGATGCTCCTCAGGACAGACACCAGGTCAGGGACTCCTGCCTCCCCACAGTTTCCAAGCAGCTCTGCACACACACACAGACACAAAGAGGATGACAGCTTTGTGAGAGCTTCTTTTAAACACCGAGGCAAAGGTCATGTTTTATTACACACTGAGGTTTAGGTGTTAAACCGCCAGCTTTCTCTGCGGTGGCGAAGAAATCAGCAATAGCGGAGGAAAATCAGATATGCTGGTATTTACCATTTGCAGAGCCACAGTGGAGCAGACTGATTTTTAAATATTTGTTCAACCTAAAGAATGTTTATTTTGTCCTGGTTATGTACACAGAAACTAAGCACAGTATGTGGCCTAAGGTTTGCTTGATCCTTTTTAAAAACATTTTCCACAGAGGCATCCAAAGACTGACAGGACGGACAAATTAACTCGGCAAGTCAGCCAGGAACAATCCAAATCATTAATCTGCAGTTTTAGGTAACGATTAGACAAACTGAATCCTCTTGAACACCACGATGACGTCACTTTTATAGATCTGCTCATGAAAAGGTGTGCGTGTGTTGCGTGTGCTGACCCTCGACACGGGTCTCCAGGTATTTATCCAACTCCTCTTCTTTCTTTATGGCCTCCTCGGAGAGCTTGGGAGCTCCGGGTAAACACACCAGCACCACGCTCATGTTGTCCCTGCTCCCCTGCAGAAACGAGGACAGACACACAAAAAGAACAAACAGGTTCAAGGTTCGTTTGTTTATCATTCGACAATGCAGGGCTGTATAAAGCAATGACAGCTGAAGGCCAGTCATTTTTGAGCACACACACGAAGGAACCGACTGCTTCTGAGGAGGATTCATGCGGAGGATTTCTATAGATGGAAATTAACATTTTACACGCAGTTTGTCTTATTTGCTGATCGACTGAAGCCAACTACGACAACCTCAATGTGCAGCTAGGTGAAAATAGCAACACAGCTAATGAGCTTTTAGCAAGATACACATTGATGCCTTTTTATGACCTCCCAAAGTAAACATGATTTTGATACTGTAATTTTAAAGTCTCAAAGAGCGAGGGGGGAGGTGTCAGCTGAGCAGCTGAAGCAGCAGCCATGTTGCTTTACTGAACATTCCTCACAGGAGCTTTAAAATGAACTATCTTTGCTGTTATTAACTGAACATTTCCACAGATAATGGAGGTGAAGCACATGAATCAGTGCCACACCTGTTTGGGTCAATCCACCTAATCATTGTCAGGGTCTGTGACACTTTTCCTTCCATACTGAGTTTTTCTGAGTGCTCACTTCATGCACCATCTTTCATGTTCTAGCTTTTTCAGTTACGATACGATACGATACGATACACTGTTATTGTCCCCTTAGGAAAGGGGAAAATAACAGTGTCCCCTTTCCCTGAACTGAAAACTACAATAATGGTTGTAGTTTTTAGTTCTTGTGTCTTTACTCACCTCTGTATTTTATCTGCTTTTTTAGCTGTTCTTCATAACAACAGTCTGCTATTGGGAAATAACAGACCGCTGTTATGACATGTGTCCATGCAATGACCAATCAGAATCACTTATTCTTTTGCTAGGTCATCTTTCGTGATATGATGCACATCTAATAATCATTATCTAGTTTTCATTTTAAGTTAACAGGCAATAAAGTTGAATGTTACAGAGCCTGTTCAGATTGAATATCGTTAAATTAGCCGACAAAAGAGACACTATTGGAGTCAAAAGTCTGACTATTGAGCCTTTCAGTATACAGCACCACAATGGTTTTACTTTATTCCACATATCTACATTAAAATCAGAGTTCCCGGTATGAAAAGTATGGAAGTAATTTGATCAATTTCCAGGTCTTAAAAAGTATGGAAAAATATTTAGGTTTCCAGACTATAACCACAATAAAAAATACTGTTTTCTAAAATAGAAAAGTAGGTATTTCCAAAAATAATTTTTAAAAGTAGGGTATGGAAAATAATGGAAATTCCAACTGTGTAGGAACCCTGGAAAAGGCGTAACAATTCAGCAGTGTGTCACACCAGAGTGAAGAAGACACCTGAACACACATAATTCATATGTTTTGTGTTTTCATATCTTCACAAAATTCTATAAGGGCTTTTTGCTTATTATAAATGTTATTGTGCATGAACTGACTGGTTGTTTTTCAGATGCAGAGATTAATTCCGGAAAATAAAACTGTCCATCACAATGTGACTGAGCGCAAATCGACTTCTTCAAATCACTTAATTTGACACCATCAACTGAAAGATTTACATGACTTCTTCCTGGTTTAAACAACTATAATTACTATGTTAATAGTGGTTGATAATGTGTGCGTAATATCCTGAAAATGTAAGCAGTTGTGTCACCATACTTAGCATTAGGGAAGTTTTACAGGTGGTTATTTTGGATTATGTGTGCAAATCAATAACAATCCTCTCACACCAATTTGGTAGGATGACTGGATTTGGTAGAGTTATAAATGTGGCTGAGCTGTTAAGCTAGCTGTGACGTACAGTCATAGAGGCAGCTCTGTGGAGGAGTGTGAAGAATTTATATTTAGCTTTCAGAACTCGGTATTTCAGAAAACAGAAGAGGGTCAAGAGTTTGAAGACACAAATATTTTTCCATACTCTCTTTTTTTCCATAATTGTCCAGAGCTGAAATTGACTGAAACCATATTTCACACTTTTCCACACGGCGAGGAAGTCTGTAATGCACAGTGTCACACACATGACAAAAGGCAGTGACAGCAGGAAAGATTTATGACAGCGTGTGGCTGTTACTTGAGATAACCCATCCACTAAGGTAAAAATAACTAGGCTGCCGTGCACTCCCTGGCTCTTGGAGTACTCCAGACACAGAACAGGCGGGACAGGGAAGGCAAAAGTCCAAGACAAGGACTCGTGGGTGGGTTCACCTGAGGCAAAAGAATGATTCATGCTTTTTCTCCATTTAAAAGATGAGAGGGCAAATGTGCCAAGTCAGGAGAGGAAATAGAAAATAATGACGCAGGACTTAACTTGTGATAGATCTCATCTCCCCAGTGAGATGTTAAGTATGGTTATGAGTGGATTAGTCAGCGTTTGAGTCGCAGCCCTGAAGTTACCTCAGTCTACTGAGCTCTTTCTTTGTAATATTAAAAAATAAACTCAGCTTTTGTTTCCTGGAAGACAGTATCTTGTATTGTCCCATCTTTAATCTAGTCTTCTCTTGTCCCACACCATATCACACCCTTATCGTATTTCCTGTCTTGTATTATCTTGTCTCACCTCGACTTGCATCGTACCCTGATGTATTGTATCCATCTCTTCCGCATGCTATCATGTTGTAAAATACTCCACTGTATCCTAATGTACTCTTCTGTATTATATCATATTATATGAATATGACTTCTAACTTCTATCTTATTGTATCCTGTTAGATAATGTGATATCACACCATATCACACTGTATCTCGTCGTATCACATCATATCAAACCTTATCACATTGTATTGTATTGCATCATATCATGACCTACCAAATCAGACTGTATGTCATATCATATCATATCATCATATCATATTGAATCCAAACAGAATATTTCTTATTGTCTTGCTGGTGTTCCATAATATTTTGAATAAAAAATAACTGGTATTACTCTCTAGGGGTGGGAGAAAATAAATCCTTACTGCATAGTATCACGATATTTTGTCTGGTGATATATCGTATCGTCCCATTAACCAAGAATCGATTTTTCAAATTAATAACTAATATGAAGTCAAATCTCTGATAATGGAAAAATAAAATCAACTGTTTGTCCAGTGAGGCTGGCAGAGGTGACATCACAGAGCAGCAGAAAGTTAGTAAAGCAAATATATATAAGGTTTGCAAGATGTGCCACATGAAAATAAAATAAAAAACGTAAAAAAGACAAACATAAAGGAAAGACAAATGCTAAATTAGCGGTTGAAAAGATTGCATAAATCACAATATATATATTGTATCACAGTACTCACTGTATTGCAAAAATGTTAAAAAACGCAACAATATCGTATCGTGACCCAAGTATCGTGATATCCTATTGTGGGGCCAGTAGTGATTTCCACCTCTATCACGTAATGTATTTTCCGGACTATAAGTCGCACCAGAGTATAAGGCTGTGTCCGAAATGAATCACTAAATCCCAAACCCCCATATGAGGTTTCACAATATAACTGACTATGTAGTGAGCTCAATCACCAGAGGTTTCGGACACTACATGGTGCACCGTTGTGACGTCACTGCTCATACTGCCACTGCAGACGCAATGCATGATGGGATGCCCACCACTGGTGAGTGACCATCGGATGGTCACTTCATTTAGCAATGCTCTATGGGAAATTCTGAGTCACCTATATGGGGCATCAGAATTGATCACTCAGGTTTCGGACACCCCTAAAAATGTCGCTGACCCCTATATAGTCACCTATATTGGGATTAGGGATCCATTTTGGACACAGCTTGAGTCGCACCAGCCAAGATTTCTATAATATGTAACCAGGCAAATGGGAGTTTTATCATGAATATTTATAACGTGAATGTTGTTGAAGTGTATGAAAAAAAAGGCTTGTGCAGGGGACTATGTATTCATTTTCACATAGTTGCACATCGTATACAAAACTGAATCTTACCTTATGCAGACAGGTGTCCACCACTGAGTTACACACCTTCTCCAGGTCGTCGCACACCTGGAGTCGTGAGCGGACAAACTCACACAGCTCGTCGTTGGACATGACGTCCCAGATTCCATCACACGCCAGCACCACAAACTCGTCTCCTTCGGCCGCTCGCTCCAACACGCACACCTCGGGCTCCGGGCTCACCAGCTGCTCTGTGGGGCCCTTACCATCCACACATTTGTAGTCATAGTCCCCCAGGGCCCGGGACACAGCCAGGGAACCATTTACCCTCTGGATCATGACTGAGCCACCAGCGTTCTGGATGCGCTCCTTTTCACGGGGGTTGCAGGGTTTGTGGTCCTGGGTGGAGAAGCCCACCTTGCCGTCTCGACTCAGCACGGCCCGCGAGTCGCCGCAGTTAATGAAGTAGAGGTGGTTCGGGCTGAGCAACACGCACACGGCCGTCGATCCGCTGCGGTCCAGACCCTGCCGCAGGTCTGCAAAGCTGCGCATGTACTCGTCAATGTTCAGGAAGCCCAAGCGGATGCCGTCCTTCACACCCTCCACTGAGCTGGAACCTGAACTAAAATCAGCTCCTCCTGACAAGATGTGTTCCAGCAAGTGGCCGGAGCAGTAGTTGGCCACCCTGGAGCCTGCGTGACCATCGTAGACAGCAAAGAAGGACCAGTCGGTGAGTCCATGGGGGAGGCCCACCACAGCTGTGTGGGCGTCCTCCATCTCCACACGCCAGCCCTGCATGGAGCTCAGGCCATAGCGCAGTCCATTGCCTTCCCCATGAGCACTATGCTTCTCTGTCTTCGGCTTGTCCAGGAATGCACCCATTGCTGCCTACAGCTGGAAAACAAGGAGAAGACAAGAGGTATCAAAATGAAACTGTTAAACCATCCAATAAGACTGTGTAAGAGCCGTATTAATATGACTAACTCAATTCCTATTGGATCTATGAGAGATCACATGACACTCATTTGTCAATAATATGCTTTGTACTTTAAACACCTTGTTCAAACATCACATTTGGTGTTACTAGTTTAGTAGGCTGCTTCATACTGTGGATTCAGACTGATTTTAATTACTCAGTGGCTGTCAAGAGCCAGGGATCCCAACCACAGGACAAAGATAGCAGAGGAGAAACCAGAGAAAGGATTACACTGCAGCCTTAAAGCTTGTTTGAGCACACAGAGCCTCTTTCACTCTGTACACAAGCTAACTAATACTATTAGTAAACTGCAGTGTTTCCTATACAACCACTTTAACTGAGTGCGTGGACCGGGTGTATCAACGGAGGTATATTTGGCGACCGATTGATGCATTTGTGTCCATCTGGGTAGATCAATACCATCTTTAGTCTGCAGTCAGCGGTTTATGTTTTTCAGCTTGATTAGCAGACGGTCCCTCTTGGCTCTTTAACCCTTGTTAACCTGTCGTGGTAGAGGGTCGCCACACTGGGACAAACAGAGAGAGAAGTCCTCTGGTGTATCCCTTTTTGCATTAACTGAGATGCAACCTTTCCTGTTTAATATAGACCTCCTTAAGCTGCTGTTTGGAAAGCTTGTTAAGTGGTGCCAGTGTCAATCTGTGCTGCTGTGGTTGCCATCGTTTTGACAGACCACACTGTCTTGGTCCCCTGGAGGTATTGGAGATGTTGGGGAAGGTGCTAACTTCAGACCAATGGAACAACAAACATAAAACAGGGGTTGAATATTAGTAAGAAAGTATGTTGGATGGCTAAACCCTTAGGTATCTTATCAAACTATATTAAATCCTATGTCATATCACTTCATATCTTATCTAGGGCTGGGCGATATGGCCTCAAATCAACATCACAATATATTGAGCAGTTCACTTTGATAATGATAAATGGATGATAACTACTCCACAAGCTGCTCACCCCCTCCCACATTAACTTTGTCTACTTCAGCCGCTACAACTTTTGAACCTTTCCCTCTTTGTTACAGACTGGATGGGGTGGAGCCATGTCTCAGACGTAGGACAGCGTCTTAAAAAGGGACATGAGACCATAGCCTACCTACACACATCCAAAACCAACTTTTATTTATTGGGCAAAATGACGTTGGTTATTGTCGTAAATGTCGGTATCAACAAATTTTAGGTTTATCGCCCAGCCCTATTCCTATTGTATCCTACTGGATCGTAACACTTTGTTTTCTAACATATTGTATAAAGACCTGGTTACTAAGCAGAGGATGATCAAAATTTAGTTCCAATTTTGTTCCAATTTTGTTTTGGACCCAAAAAGAAAAACAACAACTATTTCATAAAGCATCTGAATGCATCTTAGTTACAGGGCTTTGCAGATTTAGCAAAGAATGTTATTAACAGTGTGTAATTATTCACGCATAGTTAGGCATTTTTCTGATGCTTGTATAGATTTTAAGCGAAGAATAGTCCTTCAAGAAATAGTAGAATCTAACTTGTTTTGGTTGTTTATGGGAAATTTACTATCAAACTGGTGATCACCTCCAATCTGAACAACATGTATTCTATCACTGGTACTGTATTATATCCTATCATATCATATAATATATTATTGCATCTCATTGTGTTATCATGTATCTTATCCATAAATATTGTCTACTGTATTTTGTGGAGAATCACACCATAACTATTATATCAAATTCTATAGTACTATATGATGTTACGTCCTATTTCATTCTATTGTAACATACTATATCTTACGGTATCATTGTTATAATATCCTATCTTTCTCTGTATCATTTTCACATCATATCACATCCTGTTATACTATTCAACATTCAATAATTCTATATCAGTTGGTGTCATTTTATATCATACAGTTTTATCTGATCATATCAGAAATCAGCCCCACAGTCTTTTTAGTCAATAAGTAAATCTGCTATGAGGATCATCTTTAGTATCATGTTGACAATTTTGTGTTAATTTCAAAGCTTCTGTACCTGCAGGCACAAGCAGCATGTCAATGTCACATCTCTGTCACTTCTGACCTGCTGTTTGTTTTTTCTCCATACTAATCAATTCTGACCTTAAGGTTAGCTTCTGTTGCAGTATAGAGCTACTTATAGAGCATACCGCTTAGGTGCTATAGCGCTTATGAAACCTCCAGACCGATAAAAAGCGGCAGAAATCGAAAGTGCGACGACCATCCTTTCTTCTCTCTGACATATTGATTCTGCTGTGCATTACCTCCCACATGAGCACACACGCGGTATGACAGGCATGTGCCCAAAAAGGGTTGGTACATGCAAGGAGTGACTACAGCTGGTTTCAAAAGAACGTATGCGTGTGTGTGTGTGAGTGTGTGAGCGTGTGTGTTCTGCGCATGTGTGCAGTGTCATAGTCTATGTGTGAAAAAAAAGGAGCTCTATAAATATGCCAGGCCGGTTTAGATTTCATGTCCAGGGTGGGGCAGTGGGCCACGCCATTCACATTTCTTTGACTTTCTGCTGGGTGATTGTGCACACAGAATTCCTTTTACCAGCATCTACCGCCGCTTTGAATTAGCATGTATGTTCATGTATGGAAGGAGAGAGTGTTCACGTATGCGTGTGTGTGAGAGAGAAAGAGAAATCAGCTATGTTCACCAGCAGTGATTCTCTCTAAAAATAAAACAAACACACTGCCATTGCCTAGCAACCACCCACCCTGCAGGGCAAACATCCAGGCTAAGCTTCATTCAGCGACATCCCCCTCTCTATGTCTCCCTCTCACTCACTCTAAAACAGACGCACACACATACACACACACACACACAAACGCACACATACACCCCGCCTGGCAGAGGGAGGAAAGGGGAGTTGCATCATCCATCCATTAAAGCAGTCACAGCGGCCAGACCCTGAAAGGAGACATGCAGGCTGCGAGAACACATGCAGATACTATGAGATTTCTCTGGCTGACAATCTTACAGTAAATGGCTGACAAAACACGCACGAAAACACACGTACATAAAACCCCAGAAAATATCAGCAATAAAACATCAGACTGAAACCAGGAACTCTCAACCACTTAACCCCGTCAAAACTGCTGTCCCCAGTGCTGTGACCACAGGTCGAAACCAACACCCCCTCATGCGAAGACGCACATGTCTGCCAAAAACCACTGGCTACGAAGAGGGAAGTGGAAGGTCGGGGATTACATAATGCTGCAGAGAGCCTGAGTGCTGCTCTGAGAGCAGGCACGCTCACACACAACAGTTAATGCTATCCTGGAAGCAAGGTTAATGCACCGCTTCCAGCACGATCTCTATCAATAAATATGTTGAAATATCCTGAGACTCAGACTGGAGGTTCATGCCTGGTGAAATGACTTTGGAAGGAACACGTTTGGTTGTTGATTCCAATTTGATTTCCGTGTTTTTTTCCCTCTAAGTTTAACTTTAAACATTTAGGTCCTTTTACCGTTTCAATCCTTTCAGCTGACACAAACATCTCAACTTTTTACAGCTCTACAGAAAGACTTAGTGTTGTTTTTGTGAATGATAGTTTCCATGAAAGGAAACCCCGCTAAGCCAACAGGTGGCAGAGGTGTCAAGGCTTGTAAGATGTCAGAAATCTTTGTGTTTTTTAACCAGTATTTTATATGACAGAGGTACGCTGGTTTGGCAGATATTCAAGACTTTTTGCAGAGGAAAAAGTCCTAGAAATGATGGGTACAGTTTATTCTGCAGTGTCAGGCAAAACTTGTGAGCGATGACCCTCTTTAGCCCTAATTGGCTGGTATTAAAAGCTAACTAAAGCTACAGTAGCCTGTGTTTTTCTGCAGTCTCTATCTTAACTAGTCAAACAGCCAGACAGCTGGTTTCAAACATTGCCAAAATAATTCTTCTAGGACAGACAAACGTATCGCTTGAAGCACAACAGCAACATTCACTCCTTTATGAAAATATACATTCATTTCAGATTAATACCAGCAACACATTTTAAAAGATATCGACCTCGTCTTTTGACAACCAAACAGAAAGGTTTCTTGATTATTGAGGGTTAAACTTTGTCCCATATCTGCATAATATTGGAATCCAGTTGCCCAACAGTTCAGGGTCTCCTTTGTCATAACGTTTTGTTTTGTGGTGCGCCAAACATTTCAAACACGTGACTCAGACTCTTCTACGATTGGAGTCATGAGTAGTTCCTCTCCTCTTAATCGTGGATCCATGGTTTCCAAAGAGAACGTCAGATTCTGATTTGTCGGACTTTGCCTCTGCCAGGCCCAGAGAAGTCACTAGAATCTGTAGATCATAATTTTATTATATATAGTTTGAATCCCAGAGTTTCAACCTGTATTCATGATCAAGTAATGAACGTTCAAAGGGTTTTGGAGGTGGTTGTTGCAAATTAACCGAGTTAAATGTTCCTCCACCTGTCTTTGACGGCATTACACAACTCACATTACACAACTAACTAACTTTCATATTTTTTAACAAAACAGTAAGATTCTTCGGTTTCAACATACATGTTTGATATGTGCTAACTATTATTTTACTCATGCGGACTCAACCGTGAGTCACTACCCACCTGTGTACTCGTCACTACGAACAGCCCCTTCCCAAAATTCCACTTTTACAGTATTTTGTGTTTCAGTTTCTAGCGTCTGGTGTGTTTCAAGTCAGGGAACGGCAGAGTTGATGACTTATCACACGCCAGCATGTATTTCCTGTGGTTTGAGTTTGTTACCCCACACAGCGCTTTCACATCCAGCCTGCGGTGGGCAGATAAAGTCAATAAGTCGACATGATATTCTCCTGAAAACCAAAACAAGACTAGACTAGATCTATAGGAGTGAATAATCTCAACACACATTCATATTGTTCTTTTGTCAAAGGAGCACAAAAGCATCAATCAGAGGCCAGTTATTGAGTAGGGTTGGGACGATAGGCTTTTCTCCTCGATTCTTCTACGATTTTTTGGATGCCGATTTGATTGAAACTGCGATTCTACGATATTGATTTTCTCGATTTTTTGTCTACATTTTTAACACCAGTAAAACAGTTGAATGATGATGTTTGTCTACTGACTATTCCAGGAACTATATTTCTCCAAAAAATACACATCACATGTAAGTCAGTTGTTAAGATTTACTCTTGAATTTAAAAAAAAATAATAATTGATTGAAAAATTGTAAAACAAAAAATCACGATACTTATGTTGAATCATTTTTTCCTCCCACTTTCAAACTAGCTGGATCTATGCCCTGTCTAAGTACAGATTGAATATTCAATTTTAAGAATGAAAAGATTATTTGTAATACAGGATTTTGCACCAAATCTTTTTAAAGGACTAATTCAGTTGAAAAAACGATCCCTAGGTTGTCCCACCTCTTGCTTTTTGTCAGCTTGATCTTCAAATATTTCAAGCTGTATGGCGCAGCAAATAAGTGATGAGTATCAGCGAAAACAGCTAAATTCTCAAGTTCAATGTACAAGCAGTGACGTCTATCTACAAACACACCACACATGTAGAGTGAACTCCACGTGAACCACGTGAATACGCATCAATACCACTATGTCTGTTCTCTTTACTGTGGCTTTATGCTTCTTGGTCATGTGCATGTGACGGATCATGTGACTGATGACCACCTTAATGGAAATACCAGATAATTGTTACAGGGTCATGTGATATTTCCCCATATTTACAAAGCAAGGAGGTCAACTAAATGTTACACTAACCCAAACTCGTACAAGAGGATTGTGGGATAGTGTATGAGGACCGTGGGTCCCATAAAGGAAGCCTCCAGAGTCGGACAGTCTTTGTAAAACTGTTATGATGTATCCGCTCTTTAAAAATTGGACTTTGAAGCAGACTGCTCTGATCTGGGACTGCTGCCATGTTGTGTAATCGATCCCCTGGCGTGATAGTAATGACTCCTAAAGCCACGCCTACTTAATTTATCACAAATTTGTTCTTTTTTTAATCTTTCCTTTATCTCGACTGCTGAAACCGTTCAAACTTTTCGCCACACCATGACTCTGACCTCGCGTCCTCTTTTATGTTTCTTTTATAACACACCGAACAAAGGTGCACTGATCCAACATGAAGCACTTCAACACTCTTTATTGACCCTCCCATTTCTTCATCTCCCTTTTGTGCACTAATCTGCTGCGGAGAGCTTCCAAGATGGGCTGTATAACTCCTGGATCAATGGACTCCAGTACAACTAGCTCTGGTGCATTTTTTCTCCTTTGACACTCGTAAAGATTTTTATTCTTTGTACGACTTTGAGACCATAAGCAAACACAAGAAAACATATAGCTTATAGATGAATGGCGACACATGACAGGTGTGAGGGCGTTTTCAAAACTTGCCAACCGGTGGGATTAGTAAATCTCTGTAAACTTCAGAGACGAATGATCAAAGTGTGAAAAGGTAGCGACCAAGAACAAGCACCCCGTGAAAAAAGAGGCAATCAGAGCTCCGATTTAGCGCCTGTGTCTCGAGCTTTTGCACTGCCTGTGTATTATCTAACATATCTCCATCAGTGTAATGGACCCCAAAACACCCTCCTCTCCATCATTTTTACATTTCCCTTCAAACCTCTTCGGAGAAGAGGAACTGTTAAGCACTGAGAGCAATTTAAAAAGGAATTCAGCAGAAAAGGGGGTAAGAAAAAAGTCTTACAGGACAACTTCTGTAACCTAGCAACAGAAAGTGCCAGTAGTGTACGCTCTGAATTTGAATATATGAAAATAAACCACCATTTTAGTGACCTGATCTATTATTTGTCTGTCTGTCTAGGCGATAAAGGCGGTAGACCTTTTTAGGGACGATGTCACGATGACGTCAGGGTTTTAGCTGGAGGCAAAATCAAACACAACGGGAGTGACGCACAAATCGCCACCACAGGGTAGCAGGCGTCACATGAGTTTTTTAAGTGTTGTCTTGTTGCGTGCCAGAATAAAAGAGTGATAATAATGTCTCAGAGCGGGAACTCTAAAATATACCAGACCTCCACGACTTTGGTTCAATGAAGCGAAGAGAGACAGAGACTGGACAAATACTCATGAACGCGATGCAAACATTATATGCTAGGTATCCACGATTATGACACTATGAATATGAGCAGTTGCCAGATGCAGAGAGATCAATGTTATATTTCTCTATTGTAGAAAACAAGCCAAAAACAACTCACTGATTAGTGATGGTAAATGTATCAAGAAGACTGTTTTGATCCAAGTTAAGCCCCGCCCACCCAGAAATATCATACTGTTTACTAAGGCTGTGTCCGAAATGGATCCCTAACCCCTATATAAATGACTACATGGGGGTTAGCGCCATTTTGAGGGGTGTCCGAAACTTCAGTGATCAATTCCAGTGCCCAATATAGGTGACTCAAAATTTCCCATAAAGCATTGCAAAATGTAGTGACCATCCGATGGTCACTCACCGGTGGTGGGCATCCCATCATGCATTGCGTCTTGCCATGTAGTGTCCGAAACCTCCGGTGATTGACTTCACTACATAGTCAACTATATAGTAAAACCCCATATGGGGGTTAGGGGTTCGGGATTGAGTGATTCATTTCGGACACAGCCTATAAGAGTCTTTTACAAACAGTTTAGAGCATTAGTTCTCATCTTAACTCAGTCCAGGTAGAAGTTCACCACAGTCACCCAAACTATGATCACTTTTCTGAACAGAAGAATACAAAACAAAACAAAGATTATTCCCAAGAAGTGTAACCTGGCCTGAAACGGTTACAAAGCTGGTCATCTATTATCGGATAGTTCGAACAGCAGTTATCGGTCCTAGAGGCCAAGGCCAATATTTCAATATTTTAATACTGGTGTTTCATTCCCTCTGTTGTTGATCAAATTAATCCATTTCAAAAGTGCGCTACTTTGGCTCTACTGCCGGTGTGTCATTCCCTCCAAGTCTGTTTTCACTCACCACTCTGTCTCATCTAATGTCCCACCCACAACACCATCCGATTGGCTAGACATCATACGGCTGTGTGACATAACTGCACTAAGTGTTACTATTTACTTATTCCTGGATAGAATATCAAAAAATATGTTTGACTTAATGATATTCCAAAAGCCACATTCCTACAGAAATGTTGTCACTTTTGGCGTAAGGGACTTGAACCTCATCTTTTGCACTCTTTGTTCAAAACTGCCTCTCAGCTGATAAATTTATATGCAGAAAAAATAAGTGGTGTTCCTATACCACTAGGGCTTTAAAAATGGGCTCCAAACAATGACTCCTGCATAACACTAACAGGTTGCATTTGAACTCTGACCTTGGTCTCTGCTGGCTACTCTCCCTCTTCCACATCCACACCCTCTAGGAATGGAAATACAGCATGACAGTCATAAAAAACGCTCCCTTATTAAAGCGAACTAACCCTGAGGCGGCAAGCGTTCTGATTTCAGCCATATTGCTTATTATTAGCTGGTTGTTATGGTTGTTACCGAGGCAATAAGGAGCCACGAATTTGTGGGTCAGAACTTTGATGTTTTTGTGTTCGGCTGGTGAGTTTTAATGGTGAAAGAATTTTCTTCAGAATTACACCTTTAATAGCAAGTAAGGGCCTGTTTCCTGCTGAAGGCGAGAGCACTTTTTTTCTCCAGGAACATCTTATCAATGAAATCAGCACATGGAAAAAAACATATCTGCACGGCCAAATGGTAAATGTAGCATGGTTTCCTTGATTCTCATGATATGTACTTTCTGTACCGAGTGAAAGATGTCATAGAAATCCAGAGAGCTACACTCAAACTGATTTACTCCACAGGAAAAGGAGACAACGCTAAGCTCATCACAGAGATTTCCCTGACTATTATGGAGGATCAATGCAGCTACTTTAGAGGTATTCATTTTTCCAAAGCACATTATGATGTCAACAGGACCAGAAGAGCCTGAAGAAAGAAGCTCGATGATTATCTCAATCTCTCACTGACACTGTGTTTCATCTGCTCCTCAGTCGACTGCTGACTCAGATGAGATTATCAGCCGCTGAACTTCTTTTCTATCTGGCGTCGCTGCACAATCTCAACGCCAAGTGATGTCATATACTGGTCACCTATGCACCTTATCCCTACCTGATACGCTTGAGACGGTGAGGAGGGTGGCTGACGGGCTCATTTTCAACTCCTGCAACTTTTATGATGAAATGTGAGTTCATATTAAAGCCGGAGCTTGGATGACAAATCTCTGCAAATAAGTCCACCCCTTCAGAGCTTAAGAGCACCTCGGTTATCAAAGATCATAAAGAAAGTCCCAAACTGGGGGTAATAAAGACAGATAGAAAAAATTGTCCTTCTTCAAAACTTAAGACAAGAGCTTCACTTTCAAATCTTAAGGGCCTGGTAATCGTTGAAGAGAGTCGGAGAAGAACCGGACTTGTTGGCAGTCTCAGGAAGGCTGAGTCGACCAGCAAAGAAACGTCTTTTTAGTGGGAAGACTGCTATTCTCATATCTGTTGAGACTGATTTAGTGAACGGATCATAACAGAGACAATCAAAAAGTGAGCTCTTACATATCTACATAGAGGACAGAGTGCAAGGTCTAACATTCTGCTTGACAATAAGAAGAGTTAGTGAGTGGTTTAAGAAATATTATAATTTAGGATATCTTTATGACCGAGCCTTTCATTTATAGTTGTTTATATGCCTCTCTGTACGTCCATTTAGCGCCATATCTATAGATAAGTTGGGAGTGAACATCAAAGCTTGTGTTTTCAGTCAGAGTTAACTTTGTACATCCTGAACTGCTTCCATGTGCCCGTACACCTGCCACCCTCAATACAGCCCACAGCCTAGAATGTGTTAAATTTAGATAAGAGGGGAAAACGCCTCAAAAGTAGCTGATTGAAGGAAGAATTAACTTTATCAACAGAACTAAAATTTATCTTTCTGGCTTATGCAATACAATTATCATACTACTGATGTCAAATATCAATACTTTAATTTCAAACACATATTCAGAAAGATTTTCTTTCCACTTTAGCCAATATAACGTTTTATGGTGGCACTAATGACACTTATGGTACATTTTACCTCATGAGGGCACTTTCTGTTCTTCAGTAAAGTCGAATAAGATGATATGTCAATATATGGATCTATTGCAAATCCAGTATTACTGAATCAACAAGGGCCCGACCGATTTGGCTACAGTTTGTAGTATACTGTAAATATCTTCACTATATATATATATATATATATATATATATATATATATATATATATATATATATTTCTTTTAACTTCATAAAAAAAATTTTTAAATCATCTGATTAATCGGTTGACGGATTTCTTTCCCCCCTAATAATCTGTATCGGCATTGGCCCCAAAAAATCCATATCGGTCGGGCCCTAGAATCAACATGTTATTAATATCATCACTGGCCGCGCATTGGGAGAGTTACTCTGTGATTCGTGCTCTTACTGTAGCATACAGTTAGAAACAATTCAAACAGTAGATCAAGTGTCCACTTAAAGAAGTTTATCTTAACACCCATGTTAAAAAGCACATGTTTAGAGCATAATGTAACCAGTCCTATAAACTCTACTGGGGGCTGCTTTGTCTTTTCAATCCACTCATTTCAATATTGAAAGTCTGCACAATAAGGCATACTCAGGGGCGCAGTTGGCATGACTGACAAGAAGCAACCCTTTAGCTGTAAGTGAGGAGACTTAAAGCCCACAGCTCCGCCTCTTTGCCTCTTGCTAGGTTGACCAAAAGTTAGGCCGAGTCAGCATATCCAAGAGAGAGACTGCTGTTGATGGGCTTTTAAACTCCACTTCAGAAACCGGTGGCGGGTATCATGAGACAATGTCCATGTTTTATGCAGCCAATGTTAGAAACTGATATCACTCTATCAGCGTATATCATATACCTCCAATCAATACTGAGCAGTGGAGGATAGTGAGTGGACAGTGAGGAGGCAGATGGATCAAAAACAACGATGAGTCTTGTCCACTTTGATTAAACCGTGTGTGTATTCACCGCTTTTAAGGGACAATATATAGAAGCAGGATGAAGCTAGATTCGCTGTATGATTGGCACAGTCCATTTCTGTTGGATGTTTTGGATGACCTATAATTTTGGGCGTGATTTTCACTGCTTAACTTATTAACTATCCATTTTATATTCATTCAGCAGCTACTTTTCCTGAGGTCTACAAATGCGAACATGATATCAAAATCCAAACAGAATACATTTTTTAAAAGCCCAAAGCAAAGAGAAACCCCAGCAGAGAAATGTTTGCCCTCTCTTTTACTGATCACCAACATGAACTTACGTGCTTATGGGCACTTCTGTCAAAGTTTAAGGCAAGTCTCTGGGTTGTTTTCTGCATAAATTGTATTTCCTCTGAGTCTGTATTTTCCACACCTGACCAAACAGTTCAGTCAAGATCATATTCAAACTAGGACTTATATCATCTCCATGTTATTTCACTGAAACCTTAAAAATACCTTCCAAAGTGATATCAAACACTGACTAGTCACCCGAACAATCCAACACTAATACAACGGCCCTGCCATGATTTAACACTTAGAAATCCGATGGATGGCCGGTGATTCCACGTGACACCAATAATAGTGTTTACAGTTTCTCTGGAACTGTACCGTGTATCTCTATGGGATGAAAAGTGTTCAAAAATGTACCCTTTCGGCGATCTATTGAGAGTTTCCAGGCATTTCTACACCTGCCACAAGGTTTACAATCCAGCCACAAAAATAGGTGTTTGATCAAAGACATTTGATGGTAAATCAGCAGTGGTATACTGTAAAACGTGATTATTTATCATATTGTTGTGATAAAAAAGATCGCTATCGCTAAAAGCTGCTAATGTTTTCCAGGTTTGACAAGCTATTTTGATTACGACATGGTCTCATATTCTTCTTCTCCCTTGACGGTATTGTCCAATAAGAGGCAACCAAAGATGAACAAGAGACAAGAAATTTCCCTGCTTGTCTGCAAAATAAGAAATAATGGTCCTCAGTGCTTGGAAACAAGCGAAAAGTATGATGGGCTTCAAGGAGTGGCAAAAACAACTGTAAATAGCAAAAACGCCTGGAAGAATTTGTGTAAATATGTAAATTGTTTCTGTTGCGTGTTTGTTCCAATCCCAAAATTTCTTCTCCTGATAGCCAAGACTTGAGAAAGTGATGTGCAGGTGAGAAAAGGCTTGGTCACTGTAGATTTATGTGTTTTTTTGGGCAAAGTACTGTTGGTATCGATTTCCATTTTTGTTTTTTGGTTGACTTTGATGGTTCTAAATCTACTGTCACATTCATTTTACATAATTTTTGCACCCATAAAATGACAGCTGAGGTTGTCATGGGGAAAAAAAACAGTCAGACCAAAAACAGCAAAATATAGCTGGGAGTATTTAAGGTCCTTAAACACCGGGAGCGTTTTTTTCGTGCGATTATTTTTTTTCAAACCCGTATCCTGTCAATACAAGCGTTCACATTAGTGACGTTTTCCCGTTCTGTGATATTGCGGCATTTATTTTTTCGTATCACAGTCGAATTTTCTAAAGTTTCGCATTCTGTGTGTCCACTTCTGACCAATCAGATTTCATGTTGTTGTGACGTCAGATTTACCGGTATATCCAACATGGCTGACCGGCTGATTGTTTAAGTGTCGGAGAACAGAGTACTTTTGATAAAAAACACAAACATTACAAAGATAACGACCTGAAGGACAACTTGTGGAGAGTCATAGTGTCCGATTTCTCATATGACGATGGTTTGTGTGCTTTCACAGTTTGCTAAACGTCTTTGTTTTAACTTCCATCTGTGCTAAGTAACTTTAGCTCGTAAGCTAACCTGTTCAGATACAACATACCATATGTATTTTCACTGTCTCAAACTCAATCGTGTTGCTGTCACAGCACCATTAGGTCTCGGTTGTTACCTTACGTTTATGGATTATAGTTTAATGTTCTTATCTGGTACTGGCCCCGACTCAGTACATGCTATCATGACAGACAGCCATCTCAACACTAGTGTCTAATCAGAACTGAAAAACAGTCAGTCTACTGTTGTGTCAGTCTTCTCACTTTTCCCTCTGGAAAGTCGCAAAATCGCATTGCGATGTGTATAACAGTGTTGTTTTCATTGACAATGACGATGAAAATATTTCGTCAACGTCCTCGTCAACAAAAACATTGCAGAATACATGTTTAACATTTGACTGATGAAATGCTCATGAATTTTGCAACTCTGTTCGTCATCCACCACCAACGTTTTTGTCTAGTCTCGTCAACGTAAATGCACATTCATATCATCACATTTTAGTCATCTAAGAATTATGTGTAGCTCATCAACGTTACATCATCATCGTGGAAAAAAAGGGGCGTCAATGAAAACAACACTGGTGTATCGTCAGGCGCATCAAAATTCACCTCTGAATATTTCGTAATTTCACGTCGTATATTTGCGTCGTTCCCAGTGTGTAAGGACCTTAAAGGTTAATATACTTTGGGTTCTAAATTTTCAAGTTATGTTGACAAAGTCAGACAGGTAACAGCTGATATTTGTTACAACTTTGTGACTGGTTGCACTAAATTGTAAGGTATCTCTTATAGTTTTTTTTATAAAGTGGACAGAGTATAAAGAAGACATGTCAAAGTACTACAGTTCATTATCTGCTATGTCTTTAATAACACATATAAAGTACAATATCCACCCATCAGATAATGTTACAAAAACTGATTATGTAGGAGCTTCCTGAAAGTGGATTTTGAGGCAGAGCTGTTATGGCAGCTCGGTGCATAGCTGACCATTGATACCCATATGACAAAGTCGACTAAGCTGTCATTAGCTGGATGGGGAGCCCATACATTGCTGGATTAGCTTCAGCATAAGACCTGGAGGGGCCAGCGTTTAACATCAGTGTCATTTAAACTGGCGTTATTGTGTTGTCGATTAACCGAACATGAACGGTAGCTTCGTTACTTTCACACTTCTCATTATGACCCCGGGTCTTTTTATGTGTTTGTACTCTAACATAATTAATGTTGCATGAACCAACAGACTGTATTCTGTGTTGAATACCAATCCCCTGACCACATGCTGAACTCCATTCTCCTTAACGCTAGTCCCCCCCCTACGTTACGGCCTTCTTTGCTACCGTGTTAATGTGAGCTAACGTTAGCTAGCTGACGAGCGTTAACAGTTAGCCGCGCTTGTCAAGCTCATATTAGCGTGTTACTTACGTTTTCCTGCCGCTGCGAACGTAGATCCAATCTTGATCACCTGCTGGATTCTGCTTTCGTGTGAAGATATGTCGGTAGTCTAGCTATCTACGGGGCTAACGTTAGCCTGCTAGCTGTGTTATGTTTCCTTATTTGACAAAAATAATCGCAACTGGCCTCAGAAGAACGGCGATAATTCCTTTCTCGGTGGTTCCCTGCTTGGACAGCGTTGATTTTTACGCATGTTTGACGCCAAGTTCTGTCTCTCACATTAGCTGAAGACAATTCCGACCGTTCCTAAACAAATATGGACACTGAGAATTGGTTATATTATACAACGGTGACAAATCTAGCACTTTCTTCAATTCAAAGGCCAGAGCTATCCTTCGACTTTGGGTGCTGAACAAGAGGAGGTGTTATTTTTGGCATATGCTCGCTGATTGGTTAGAACGCCTCAGCGAACCGTTCGCTAATTGGCTGAGTCTCCTGTCAATTAGCTCTGCCCCTGTCCCAAACTACTTTCCCATTGGTCTACTTCAGAAGTCCTGTGACGCACTGGAGCTTTAACGCACACTCGCAACTAATTTTGGCGTACGCCGATTCTATTGTGGATAGGCGGAGTCAGTCTGAACACAAAACACGACCGGAGTGTGTTGACCGCAGCCTTGCGGGAAACATCCCAGATAAAACGACGGAAAGAGCGTGACGGCAGCCGGGTTTACATTTGTAGTTATCTTCGTTCACTGTATGTTAGGAAGTTACATCACACAGCGGCTTGAGTGACCCGGAGTATTAAACAAGCGCAACCAAAGTCCAGCAGGGATCCTTGAGGGAGTTTCAGTGCAAGAGGAAAATAAAGACATAAATCATTAGAAATTGTAATATTTTAAGAATTCGATTGCAACACCTTTGCTTATTTTTTGTTTTGAAATACATTATATTCATTTTTTTCCAAGACCATAGACAACAAACAAGAGCTCTGGATTCACATTGATATCAAAATACAAAAGAAAATAAAGCATCATCCAAAATAAAATGGCTTCATGTGACTTAAGACTGTCCCCACCCAGAAACCCACCTCTGCAATCCCACACCACCTAAACGCTCCACCCCAGTCCCTCAGCCGCCCACACCCGCCACGCCAGTCACAATACACAAATATTGTGCCATCTCCCAACCATGCACAGTAGAAGAAATATGAAAGTACACTGGTTTGTCACTTATCCACGGCTCTAAAATACGTCTCCTAGCCAGAAACAGAAGTTTGTCACGAAGTCTGAAATCAGATCTACTCAGATACAGATAAATGTGGTTTTGGCAGAACTTTTGCTTATTTTGGTGCTATTCTTTGGCTAAGTTTCTCTTTAAAAAGACCAAACAAGCTTTAAAAATCAGGCAAACATAAAATAAATCCATTAAGTAAAATGGTCATCTTTACACCCCCTGAAGACCGAGGTGAAGCAGCCCTCTTGATTGCGTTGGACCCTAACATTTGGTCTCCAGGTTATGTTCTAAATCAACCAAACAATAAAAACTTAATGTTTCTCATAATAGGCCATCTCTATGCACCAAAAAGTCCCAGGACAGTAAATTTGATCCTCTTTATTACTCTGTGTAAAGGATTTGTCACAGGCACAGTTAGAAATCACATGCTTCTCTCACACGTATGTTACAAAGTGCTGTCTTTATTGTACTTTTTTTTAAACTCCTTATCAGGTCTTGAACATACAACTACAGTTTATCACCCACTCTTGAACATTGACCCCTGTTATTGCGAGATGGCTGTTCTTTTTTCTGCATGTGTCCAAAGAAATCATGTCATAATCTCTCCTTCTGATCATACCTCTAGGAAGGAGTGTTTCAGCAGAGAAACTGAAACTAATGGCCAGGTATTGGCAAAGAAGGTCTTTTTGATGACCTGAAAGATAGTTCAGTACCAAGCATGTGGTACAGATTTATTTTATAAACCAGCTCATTGTGAATGCAATGATCCTGGCCTAGAAACAAGAGTGCATGTTTGTTGGACCAATGGGAAAATAAAGAGAAACTTTTTTTATTTGCATTAAAGACGTCAAAGCCCTAAGTGGGTCAGTGACCTGCAGTAGGTCTGCTGATTTCTAGCATGTCATTATTGGTACGTGTTTGACTCGCTGGTCTTATGATGAGAGTTTCTTTTGAAATGTGATAGAAGATAAAAGCACTACCGTTATTTTCCATTCACATCATAGCAGCATGGCTGGGCTGTTGAGGGGGATTTGGCCTTTATTACTAAGTCAGCAGTTGGAAGATGACATGTAATTATGGCAGGGTCAGATCATGTCAGTTTATATACAGACCACTTTCACATTCAGTGGTGACCGAATTTCTTTGATGGAGAAAAATAAGGACAACATGGGGATGATAAACTGAAAAGAGCTTTTATGATTTTTTTTTCAACAGGAATTGAAGATGACATTAGCTTGAGAGGAAAAATTAAACAACATGTTTTCAAAGTCTGTATGGAAGAGACATATTTTCTAATAACAGACTTCAGGAGACACACATGGAAAATAGAACTGGGCCTAATATGAAGCCCTGAGGAACTCCACAACAGAAAGAATCCAAGTTATTGTCATACCACTCCTGATGCTAAAACACTCACAACTCATACTCAGCTTAAACATAGATATAGGTCCCTCAGGTCATTGCAGTCCTCAGTAGACAGACTCTTGAGTTTATATGAAGCAGATGCTGCACAATTACAGAAGTAGTGATGGGCACAGCAGTCCTTTTAGATGTACTGAATCACTAGAATCAGTTCACTAAAAAGATTAGTTCAAAAGATTCGTTCACCAAATCACCAAATCATTTAGCGGGAGAAGCCTGCGACTCTGACCTCCTGAACTGATTTTAAGTGTACTGTCATGTGGTATGCTATTTATCAGGTCTGCTCAGTAAATTGGGGTCAGTGAGTGATTCGTTCACTGAAGGTTTAGAAGAATTCACACTGAACATGCACCGTTCCCTCGCAAACCGCTGCAATGATAGGATGCTGCGGGTTTAATGCACTACTTGTTACATGCTGTTGTTGTGGTGGCAATTTAGCAGTGAAAAAAAAAAGTAGTTTTGTCCGACAAAAATGATTCCAGAGAGTGTAGTTCAATGCGTGATTCGTTCACCAAGTGATTCAGGCGTCGGTGTGTGTGGTCCCTCGTTCACCAGCTGCTGGCCTGGCAATGTTGTTTCTCACTTCAGCTCAACTCAAGTGAGAAACGAACGAATCACTTGAGGAAGTGATTTGATTCAGTATGTTCACTTAAAAGATTCGGTTCTTTTGAACGAATCGTTCGCAAACAACACAACACTATATAGAAGTTCCAAGACTCTCATAACACTCTTCATTTTCTCTCTGTTCCTGTTGTACTGCTGTACGGTTGACCCTGTTTATAAGGTGACGTCCTCTCTGGAAAAGCAGTTTTAAGTAAAGCTTTTTAAAGACCAAATCTAAACACCAAGACTTAATGACGTCTACCCTGACTAGTAAACAGGGGAAATCTGAATGTTTAGGTTTCACTTGTGGGGAGCTGTCGCAGCATTCATCTTTATATAAGAGTCCAGACTGGCCCTACCTTGAATTTTGCATTCTGACTCTCATTCTTTTTCCTCCTTTTGGAGCCTGTGATGACAGAATGGCGTTTATCCAGGGAGCGAAATTTGGTAACTTGACACTTGCAAGCAGACAGCTGGCAGCAGCCATCTGTCACTCAAACTGTCCAGGCTCTGAATTATGCAGAAATAAAGCCTTAATATAATTTTAATGTGCTAGACCTAAATTAATCCCTCATGTACAGTTGTCATGAATGGTAAATGAGCTAAGGAGACTCAATCTGTTATTAGTTTGGCATGTATATCTGCTGTAAGTTAGGTTTTCTACGACAGGGTTCTCAGGGGCTGAAACACCAGCCTCAAGTGGCCTTTTAGGGAACTGCAGCCTTAGAGATTCTGCATCTACTTAATGTTTTTAATACCCTCCTTTTATACCCTCTTACTCTTCACATGCATCTATACTTTATAACCAAGGCCACAGCTTTGATACATTTGGATGCACCCTCTTAGATCATGTCAGGCAGGTTGCTTCAAGCCTACTGAACTTTTTACTCTACTGTGCTAACACATTTAATAAATATTCATTCCTTTTTAACCATTCTGTAAGCTCTGACTTTTGTGACTTAAAATATACCAGAAAAAGGCATGTTTTAACTTCCAGACATGAGAGATAAAGCTCATGTGAAAGTGCTTTAAACTTGGATTCAAGCGTTCACTTGAGGCTTGCTGCAAATGCTCCAGAGATTATATTCACATTCAAAAACATCTGGTAGAAATAAACATGCTTCCTGTCCGGTATTAAAAAAAATGGTTTTAGTCTGAATAGTTAAATTCCCTATCTGCACACACAGTATGTGCAGAGGCAGAATGGGTGAATTTTTCAATAATGTCTGCATCTTAAAGCTACTTTAAAGGAACTTCTGGTTTGTCTTGATATTGTTGCCCCCAGTGGACAAAGTGAAACCTCTTGTCTATTGTACTCTACATGTAAAAGTTGTGTTTTTATAACCAAACCGCACCTTTTTTCTGTCGGTCTGATTGCATTTCCATGAAGAAATGATCATAAATGTTCTTCCTTGAGCTGCGTCACCCCGCTGCAGTCCGTAATGGACTGGCCCGAGGTCTCCCTACAAACAAGCGGCTGCTGGAAGAGAGTAGGTGAGTTGTGTTTAGTCTCTCTGCTAAAGAAGTTAAGCAAAGTTAAAAAGATGCTTGGTGGCTAGTACAATGGCTGGGACCCTATATGTACTGTTGATGAAGTTAGGTGCTGTTCTGAGCATTATTTGTGGCTATAGAGTGTGTCGCAACAAAAAACAACCTTGACCCTCCACTTAGCTCCACACATCAGTTCCACTTAACTCGTCAAATGCCCATGTGAATAGAATTATATTTATCTATTTGTTTATTAATTTGTTTAAACAACACAGGATTTTAAGCCATTTTTAACTTAACTTATTTATTTTAACTTTTACTGTTTCGCTGTTGATTAAAAACTCCTTATAGTACCTTTAAAGTCATGAATTCACTGAGGCTGTTCATGAGAAGGCTGAAAGATCTTTGCGTGTCTTCACGTTAAGTCGTCCAAAAGTCTAGTTGAGCCAATATTTTCAATATTATAACTGTCATTATCAGTGTCATTATTGGTCCTGATAATCGTGAGGTGAAATCTGATACTGTGACTGTCATGTAAATTAAGATAGTATGACGTAAACTGGAATAACAGGAAGAGAAGACATATTTTAAAACAAAAAAGGAGGCTGCAGGGATGCTTGGGTGGTGAGATTAACGCATAAACAAGACTACAAGTGTGTGTATGAAGATGTTTGGCTTGATAGTGTAGGAGTGGACCAGAGTTATGGTGTGTATTAGGGGAAAATCAGGGCTTATCTGTTGTCATTTTGTGTTTTCCCCTCAGGATT